GTGTGTGTGTGTGTGTGCGTGCGCGCGCGTGTGTGTGTGTGTGTGTGTGTGTGTGTGTGTGCGTGCGTGCGCGTGTGTGTGTGTGGATTTTAAAAACCAGGTACCACATCAGATGTAACTGTTTGAGTACCACGTTGACATTGCCTGCAAGTAAACATGAGATGATGTTTGTAACATTTTCTTCTGTAATCTGAAGTATTTCAAGTTGAAAAAAAGATATTCAATGGACAGAAAAATGTAAAGCACTTTAATTATTATAAAAACTCATCTCCGTCTTTTGTCCAGCCCAAAGCTCTTGTCGCTGGTTGAGCCATGTGGCAGAGTTCTGGCTTGGTTGGGATCTTCAGATGTCTCTATTAATCTAGGATTGCAGAAGGTATTTTAATACCCAATAAATTACAAACTTCAAATTGTCAGAATATCCACCATTGCAGTGTCATGTAAAGGCAAGCAGATTCCAGTGCTCTGGATTTAACAAAGTTGTTGTTGTTTTTCTGTCTGTTGAAATTCCCCACTATATCCTGCAGAAAAACAGCCACAAATCACAAGTATAATGTGATCACACACACACAAAAAACTTTGTTGCAAAGTAAAAATGTCTATGTATACTAAAAATAACATACTTAAGATTGCAGTAGAAGCCATGCAGTCAAGCACACTTTTAACAAATTGCATTCAGCACAAATTTGCGTTGATCTGCCTAATTCCTAATTTAAGAGGGCTAAAACAATATAGAAAGTAAATACAAATAGACAATGCTATAAATGGTCACAATTCATTCATAGTGAATTCCCCATCAGTGTACTTGTGTGATAATGGCTGCTTTAATTGCAAATGAATTTTGCATGAACGAACTTTTTTGTGGGTGCATGAATGTCATTTTGTGGCATACTGTTCCTCTAGCAGCTTTGTGCAGTTGCATTGACTCTCTGCTGTGTGGTTTCTGTCAGGCACGTGGAATGGCAACACTAAAGTGGCTGTGAAGACCCTCAAGCCGGGAACCATGTCTCCAGAGTCCTTCCTGGAGGAAGCGCAGATCATGAAGAAATTACGCCATGATAAACTAGTGCAGCTCTATGCTGTCGTTTCTGAGGAGCCCATCTACATCGTCACTGAGTACATGGGAAAAGGTCAGCCGTCGTTCTCATAGTAACAGTGAAGAGAATGGGTTAACTTGAGGACAGGCATGGAATGTATCTATTTTAGCAACACTGATGGGTTTTGTAGGCCTGACTGAAAAAAAAACCAATTAAAGATAAATCAGGATTGAAGGTTGATGTTCTAACCCTTAGAAATTGTCACTTGAGGACTCAAAACACTCTGCTGTATTGGACAGAAAGAAAAAGAAATTATAGTGGGCTAAATTGAATTTGAAGAGCTGTAATGGAGGAAGCAGACATTTAACCTAATACTGCTAGAAAACCTAATGGACAGTTGATGGAAAAATTCCTGAACTCCACACATATGTTATTCGGCATCAAAACTTAATTTAGGCAAGGCCATAATCCACCCTCTTAGAAGTAACAAGATTATAAGTAAAGCGATAGTCCCCAAAAATTTAAACGAAAGTCCATTTATTTACATTTAAGTTTAAACGGGTGTTTTTGTTTTGTTTATAGTGTATTAAAACCTGGACAAAGTTCAAAGTAAATCTCTCCTTAATCAGTGTAGTTGTTTGAAATTGGCTGTTTTAAATGAATGAATTTTGCATACGCTTTATTGAAGATTACGCAGGTACACTCTTAAAAATAAAGGTGCTTAAAAGGTTCTTCACAGCGATGCCATAGAAATACCATTTTTGGTTCCACAAAGAACCATTCAGTCAAAGGTTCTTTATAGAACCGTCTTTTTCTTACCTTTTTATAATCTGAAGAACCTTCTTTCGCCACAAAGAACCTTTTGTGAAACAGAAAGGTTCTCCAGATGTTAAAGGTTCTTTATGGAACCATTTAGACAAAAAAGGTTCTTCCATGGCATCGTGAAGCACCTTTATTTTTAAGAGTGTATGTGTGTACACGTGCTTATAGCAGCATGTCCCTTGTTTTGCTGAAGCTAACGTGTATGTTGTATGTTTTAGGAAGTCTTCTAGATTTCCTGAAGGACGGGGAGGGACGGGCACTCAAGCTGCCCAACATCGTCGACATGGCGGCCCAGGTACAGCAACATCATTTAAACCTGATCTACAGTGGTCCCAGAAAATATTTAGACACTACAGCCACACTTAAAAAACAGCAAACCACTATTTATTTCAAAGAAAGATAAAAAATAGGTATACTACTTAAAATAGTTTTTGGGGCCACTGAAGATCAATGATGTAACAAATACAGGAGGATGAAAATAACCCTGCTTTAAATCACTCAGTCTGAAAAGAATCTGTTCTGGCCCCTATTGTGTGTATGAAGTTATTGTTTTATTATATGTAGGTACCCTATCATGCTGTATCAGCACTGTAACCCACAGAATGCAATATTTCTTAGTTTGACCTCAAGTAGCTTCAGCACTAGGCTTTGCTCAGCAGATTTCAGTGTAAGTGTTTGTGTATTCAGGTGGCTGCAGGCATGGCCTACATCGAGCGTATGAACTACATTCACAGAGATTTGCGCTCTGCTAACATTCTGGTTGGTGATAACCTGGTGTGTAAGATCGCTGACTTTGGCCTGGCCCGACTCATTGAGGACAATGAGTACACTGCCCGACAGGGTAAGAAACGCACCATCTGGACACATACATATATGTATCCCCCCACATACACCCCCCATCCTAAAGAAATAGTTGAGTCTTTCATCATGTTGTTCCAGAAGTCAGCATTTTTCAGTGGAACACAAAAGTAGAATTGTGACCCGTGTAGTGTTGGGAATCGAAAATCGATTCCAATTCCAGAATCGGATACTTGTTGTAAAATTAAAAATTCGATTCCACCTATCGAGCCCTGTGCGCTTTTTTTTCTCTTCATCTGTGAGGACCCGACCAAGCGATCTGCCAGGACCTTGCTCGCTAATCTAAACCGATCTAAACGCTACAAAGTTTGGCTACATTTGCGATCAGAAACCAAAAAAGCTAAGTATAACAAATAGTACAGATCGCTTGACGGAGAGCGAAACTCAAGCGCTCAGTCAGCGTGTTTATCGAGTGAAAATCTGTGTTGAACGCCTCTCGCACATATACTGTCGTGTAAAATCTAAGAATTTATTAGCCAATGGCTAATGTTAGACATTATTTAGTCGCCCAGAGTAAGATTTAGTCGCATTTGCGAGTGGTTTACTCGCAATGTAGAGGGTTGCAAGAGAACATGTCAAAGCACTTTAATTTAATAGTTCGTTAAAGTTCGTGAACACGATTCAAACACCAACGTGATTCTATTCCTAAATGACAATGATTCGTCTGTTTCATTCCTCAACCTTTGACGTGTGCGATCAATGTTGTGATCACTTGGTTCATCCGTGCAGTGTACGATCACACCAGTGTGATTTGAACATTTAAATCTGCGTTCGCGCTGCCGTTGACCTAAAGAGAGCAGCTGTCATGAATATGAACGAAACCGCTTCACAGTCTTTTCGACCACACAATATCATTATATCTGTGTTACAAACATTCAAATCACAGAAGTACTGGGATAAAAGTTTATAGTTCAGATATAAACTCTGATGTGTACGGTAGCGATTAAAATAGAGTAAATGACCTTTTGAAAATAATTTGACACTTCAAATGAAGATTTATCGATTATATCGTTACGCCAGTAGGTGGCGAAAAGGGGCTGTTAAAATGTATTTGTCTTTGAATCATACGAGAGATTCGTTCAAGAACGCTGATTCATCCAGTAATGAAACAAGTACTATCTTGAGTGAGTCATTGAATCATTTATTCATAAATTACATGTGATTTTGTTTAGTTGTCTAATGTTTTTTCTTCAGAATCATGAGAGAACTACAAATTCCATTGGGGAAAAAAAAGAAAAGGAAAACTGAATTTATCCAGAATCATGCAGCTCTATTTTTGCACACAAACAGCTCTTAAAGAGTCCAGTTTTTATGTAGCCTTTTGATTTTTGTTCATGGTATTCAGCTGCAACTGAATGGTTTGCAAAAAAGGACACGGGATAAATGTTTGATATCATTTTTTAATCACATTGGAATCGAAAAGAATCGGAATCGGAATTGATCAAATTCAAACAATACGCAACCCTAGACTCGTGCTGGTAAAATGAGTCGGAATGCGCACGGGATCATTTTGAGCTACAGACAAAAAAAAAAAAAAAGAAAAGTGAAAAATTACGATTTTGGTCGAATTTCAGGTTTTCACAAAAATTAGTTCATTAAACCCTCGTCTAGCAATCCCAATGCTACAAATAGCAATTAAACATCTAAAATTATCTTTATTTGTACGTTTTCTGAGAGGAGTACTTTTTCTCTGCTCACTTCTCGCTCTGCTGCTGACTGATATATGAATCACGCACATAACAGCGCTTCCGCGAGCGCGATCCCATACATACACATACTGTATGTATATACAGAATTACAGTATTTGATTAGGCTATTCACGCAAACAAAATCTGTTATGTCTTAAGTGAACGTTTGAGTTACTGTTGGGGAAAAACTTTAAACATATTAGATCCATGCATTACAGTAGGACTTACTATTAGGGTTGCAAAAGGGTGGAAAATTTCCAGGAAATTTTGGAAACTTTCCAGGATTTTTTTTTTTTTTAATATTCCAGGTATTTTTGGAAAGTTTCCGGAAATTTACCAGAAATTTTCCACCCCTTTGCAACCCTACTTACTATATAGGCCGTCTGTCTCATTAATGTAAATCTAACAATAAAAGAAAAGATCACTGCTCTTGATTGAACTGCTTTTGTAGTTTTAATAATCAGTTTATTTGTAATGAACATACTGAAGTGATTTTTACATTTGATTATTTGTTTTACTTACTTGAATGCTTTTGTTTAGATGTGAAATGAAAAATGTGTTTCTTTCTTATATTTGTTCTACTGTTGTTGTTGTGTTTTTTTGCGTCTGTTCTTATTTTTAATAACAAAGGTAAAATAGAAAATGGCTATAATGTGATTATCAATATAATACAGTAATTAATATTAAGAAAGAAAGTGGATAAAACAATGCAATGTTGCTCAGTGATTTTGCTTTGGAACCTTCAGAAAACTTCAGCTTTTGCTTACTTCCTCGATTTCTAACGGGTGTAGCTCAGTCATTTTTCATCTGAGCTTTCGTTTGAAGGTCTTTTAATGGAGAATGTGACAATTTCATTCATTGTGCTCATTGTGACTTATTTTGCCAGCGCAAGTCGCAGTTTTTCTGAAGATATTATTTACAATATTCTAAACAGGGATGCACAGAAATGAATTTTTAACAAAATTCAAATCTCAGGTTGTTTGTTTGTTTGTTTATTAATTAATTATTAAATCTATTTAATAACACTCAAGTGAAAACCACTGCCAGATATGATTGTGTTCTATAGATAACATCTTAAAGTAAACACAAATGTATTATGGTTATTGTTAGATAGCTGCCCAGGCTGCAAGTTCAAATCCTGAAGAAGCATACTTTTATTAAAAAGAAAATAAAAACAAACAAGGAAATAGCACTGTGTTCTAGTCCATGTATATATGCTCCTCATTTTATTTTGTGATTTGAATAACTTTCCTCACACATTTTGGCGTCTCTGGTAGATAAAGAGGCTTTTCTCATTGGCAGACTGCTTATCCTGTTTCTGTGCTGCAGAGAGATAGCAGCCAAAGAGGCTGCGGGAGAGTTAGAGGACAGCGAGCCTCTTAGAAAAAGTTACCTGAAATATAGCAATTTCTTTTCAATAAAATGGCCAAGCAAAAGGAAGACCTGGTACAATCCCATGAAACTGTCTTGAATGTGAAATGTTCATCGCACACAAACGTTCTGCCACCAAACTGCCTGCATTGTTTGTGCCAAAATCCGCCATTCCTGAAAGCAAATCGTTTCACAATTGATTTGCAGGTTAATTAATCTTATACAGCAAAGAAGTCGCATTTCATATGGAATTGAGATTTGATTGGATTGTGAAAAGTGAACTCTGTTATTATCGGTCAACACAGTATACATCATCAGAAAATAAAGGTTGTTTCAGAAGAGCAGCAAATTATTAAATCTTGGTGAAAGATTGTCTATACAGATTGTTTTAGAATAATGTGATCTGATGAATTGTACACAATAAGATATGTATTAAGAAAATAAATGTGAAGTCAGAGCGGTATGTTGTGGGCAGCGTTCCAACATATATAGTGTATCTCTGGTCTCTAATTATTTCCTGTCTCTTATTCTTCTGTCCATGTGAAAGACTTTGATTTTGATTTCATGATTTCAAAGTTTTTCATAGTTGGTAGCTGACCTTAAGAAAAGATATTCCAGTGCATGTTTATTTTAATACATCTCTTTCTTTCTCCTGTGTCTGTATCTCAGGGGCAAAATTCCCTATTAAGTGGACGGCTCCTGAAGCAGCTCTGTATGGGAAGTTCACCATTAAATCTGATGTTTGGTCTTTTGGAATCCTGCTTACGGAGCTGGTCACTAAAGGCAGAGTTCCATATCCAGGTAAATCTGGGTGATCCCTAGACGTATTGCAAAATTAATATAAAGTTCTGTTATGAAACTCTAGATGGCGCAGACTGATAGGTTCTAACTCAGTCTGACATAATGACATCATTATTCACTTGGTGCAGCCGATTGGTTTTTGTAGCATCAGCAGCCAATGAGCTTGCTGCTCAGCATTCAAATGCTTGGCCAGTTTTTTCCATAGCACACTTCAGAAACCCTCCACCTTCCCCAGCTCCACCTGTATAGATCAGCTACGGAGTTTTTTCATGTATGTTATATGTGCAGCAGCAGTATTTCTTACATGCTCACAGCAGCATGTTGTGGATGTATTGGCAGTAGCAAGTCTTGGTACTTGCTCTGCCGCAGCAGCGGAGCAGATCTATTCCGCCAAGACCAAACACATTAACATTGCCATGAATGTTATCTCTCTGAGAGATCATGTCAGAACTAACGTGACCTTCAAAATGACCTACATTTAAAATAGGTGTCTTTTGAAGATGCACTTTGTGATATTTCATCATTTCTGTAAACCAAAAGACTTGTCTAAACATTTAAAGGTGAAGGTCTTTGCTGTCACATACCCCAATTTCTGAGAGGCATGTCCAGTCTCGGATTTTATTTTTCCATTTTATTTCAAACTGACTCTGCTGCTGTTTCCACACCTTAAACGAATTTCTCTCAGACTCTTAAAAGATGAGATGCTGAAACTCTGATACATGATGAATTGCTGTAGATCTACACAAATTCTAGAAAATAAATCCAGTGATCTTGGCTGGAATGTAGGGTAGAAATGAAGGCGGAGTGTGAAATGCCATTGTGTCAACGCAGTATTGCATCATCCACAGATGTTTGCAGGCGTTTCTCTCTGTCTTGTTGAAATGTGGTCATGTCCCTCATGGTGATGATTAATCGTCTGGCTTCATAAGTGCAGTTCTGTTTCAAGATCCCTAGTATTTAGAAGCAGGTCTGATTGTCCTGCCCCCACCAAAGCTTCAGAAACGGTGATATTGCCTGGTTTGATTGACAGATTGAGTCTATGTTTTTATCTCCCCAGTCATTGTTGCAAAATGTACTTTGCAACATGAGTTCATGGATCTCTTTATTAGTGCTTCTGGTTCACATGTGACTACTTTTCAATGTGTCTATGAAAATACATCTTTCTGAAAACATCTTGGTAACAAAAAGCTCATGCTCTGTTTATTTGAGCATCCCAGCTAGCTCACCATAGCAATGCTGGCTCAAACACCGCTGTGGGTTTGAGCAGAACTAACAAATTAAAGATGAGGGAGTGTTTGAGAATAGAGTTTCATTTATTTCAAATGTTATCAGTTGTATTTGGTGCCACTAATGGCATGGAAATTACACACACCTTTAAATGGTTAAATGGTCCTAAGAGGGATAGATGTCCATATGCATGTCTTCAGTTTCAGTGGTGGACGAAGTACACAAATCAAGTAAGAGTACAGATACCCTAGTGAAATATCACTCCAATAAAATGTTAAGTACTCCTTTTCGAGTGACGATTTCTTTAGTTTAAAATAACGAGAAATTTGAATTTTTATGAAATTTAGTGTAATGAATATCATGAATACATTGCAAAAATATTAATAGTAATCAGGTCACACTTTAGTTTGTTGATCACTTCTCACTATAAGCTGTTCACTATGACCTTTGCCTCAGTAAACTCCTGAATTGTTGCTTATTAATAGTTAGTTAGTAAGTTAGTTGTTAAGTTTAGGTTTGGGGATTAAGGGATCTAAAATATGATCATGCAGAATAAGGCATTAATATGTGTTTTATAAGTAATAACAATCAGCCAATATGCTAGTAATGTGTGCTAATAAACAATTAGTTAATAGTGAGAATTGTTGCCTAAACAAAAGTGCTTCCAATAATAATAAAAATTGTTTTCTTTATCAATTTTTGTCTTGATATCCAGAAATTACACAGCTTAGTATTAGTTTACTGTGAGTGAGAAACCCTGGGATTTCCAAATGAAGACAGATAGCTGAAAACGGCTTATTGTTCATAATATATATTTAGCTAAAGTTAATTTTATAGCAAGTGTTCTCAGCTCTGGCCCTCAAGTTTAGCTGCAGCCCTAATCCAACTCAAACTAATTGAGGTCTTCAGGATTACTAAATGTGACCCTGGACCACAAAACCAGTCATAAGGGTCAATTTTTTGAAATTGAGATTTATACACCATCTCTGAATAAATACGCTTTCCATTGGTGTATGGTTTGTTATGAGAGGACAATATTTGGCTGAGATACAACTATTTGAAAATCTGGAATCTGAGGGTGCAAACAAATCTAAATATTGAGAAAATCGCCTTTAAAATTGTCCACATGAAGTTCTTAGCAGACAGAATTAAGTTTTAATATAGTTACGGTAGGAAATTTACAAAATATCTTCATGGAACATGATCTTTACTTAATGTCCTAATGATTTTTGGCATAAAAGAAAAATCTATAATTTTGACCCATACAATGTATTGTTGGCTATTGCTACAAATATACCCCAGCGACTTAACACTGCTTTTGTGCTCCAGGGTCACAAATAGTTACAGGCAAATGAGTTTGATCAAATTTGGACAGTGTACCTTGGGAACCTGCTTAAAGAAAACTCCTTTATAGCTTTGTCTTCCTAGATGGCACCCATGAAATCTCTAAGATGAACATACTTGACAGTATTGTTGTGCTAAAACTCATGCGTGGTTTTTGCTAGGGATGAATAACAGAGAGGTACTGGAACAAGTGGAGCGTGGCTACCGGATGCCGAGTCCCCAGGACTGCCCGAGCTCTCTTCACGAGCTGATGGTTCAGTGCTGGAAGAAGGACGCAGAAGAGCGGCCCACCTTCGAGTACCTGCAGGCCTTCCTCGAGGATTACTTCACTGCAACCGAACCTCAATATCAGCCCGGAGACAACATCTAAACCCAGCCTCCTGGGCCCACCCTGATCTCATCCTCCCTGAGTCGTCTCAAGTGGCCTCGACTCCCTCCAGACCAGAGGCATGTACAGCTTCATGAGTTCACCTGAGCTCCCCTGCGGCTCCACACGCACTAGTCGCCTGAAGACTGAACCGTTTGCACAGACTTTGAGGGGTGTAAACACGAGCGAGCTGGGGAGGCCGACAGGGGGAATTGTGGGTAAAGTTGGAAGGGGAGGAAGTGGAAAGTTGTGGCCATAACCATTATAATGATATGAAATCATGCCTGTATTCAGTGTAAATATGAGATGCTTGTTTAAGGTTTATTTTTTAGTTTGTTTTCATTCAGGGTTTTTTGTTTTGTTATCCCCGCTCATCTTTTTTGTGTTGCTTTGCAAAGAAGCAGTTTTGGCCGCGTTGAGGAACCCGTGGAACGAGTGTTGAATTTGAGAATGTTTGTGGTTTGTTCATTTTCTCCTCTGCTGACGAGATCATGTTCCAAATGGAGGAATAAAAATGCAAAGTCTTTATTATTCTAGTGGTTTTACCTGCAGAGGAAATTGGTTTCTCACAATTTCTTTAATTTATTTTTTGATTGTTTTTACGTTGCTTAAGATACTAAATTGAATTGACATCCTCTCCAAATTATTAGATGTTAACCTAATGTAACAAATCATTATTTTACACACATTGTACATTTTTGTGTTTCTAGCCAAATGTTAAAGACTGCCATACATCAGCATATCTCCACAGAGAAAATGCATTGTAGGCTATTGTCAGAAAAAAAGTAAATAAAAAATTGGACATTTTTGGGGTACAACAGCATGTCACTGGGGCAGTACCCTCAAAAGAACAACTTTGTACCTTATCTACCTCTAAAAGGTGTGTTTTAGTATCTTAAAGTAGTCATATGTACCTTTAAGGTACTACTACTGTTTAGGTCTAAGTAATGTACAAAGTTGTCCTGCTGAGGATTCGCTCTTGAATTTGTTCATGATATTTAGACATGACATTATGGTGCCTTGGAAGCCAGTCTGAAACCAGTTTTCAGAAATGTGGTTTGTTAAGTCATTGACTGACTGGGCAGCGAGTAAGCAAAGCAGATGTCTTTGGTTTCGGACACGGCCTCATTCAAATCAGATCAGGTTCTAACTGGTCCCTATCCTCATGTGCCGTTTCTTCTGTTCTCCATGGAGGACACTTTTAAAATGTATTTGTTTCAATGTATTTTAATTCATCTAGCATAAATCTATATGGAACTGTTTGGATTTGGATCAAGGGAACACTCCAAAGTACCATTTCCCTCGTTGGTTTGTACAGTGCTCATCAGAACGTCTTTAAAACCCCTCACCTGCATTTCATTTGGTTTAACAGTATCGTAAGTGTCAGTAATCACCTCAAAATTGCCATTATCATTTTTTTTTAACATGCCATTTTGTTAACATTCCCCATTTGGAAATAAAAATACAATATTTTACACTCTTTACAAGCTTTACTCGTCTTTCTTATTACCAGTTAAAGCAGCACTATGTAACTTTTGGCGCTCTAGCGGTTAATAAACAGAACTGCACACATCCCGCGGAAGAACATTCCAACCGGAGCTACTTCTCTAAGTTTATTTCTATGGCGATTCACGCAGGTATGTGTTCCTCCGCAGCGGTGACGACCCGACCAGGCTACAATAGTCCAAATATAAGTACTTATTATAAGTGTACCGTAGTGATTCGGAATAAGACAAAAACGCGGTTTGGAAGATGCATTCATGGGGTACTCGCTCATTATATACATTTTGCAAATTTCGAACACAGAAAAAGTTACATAGAGCTGCTTTAAAAGCTAAGGCGGTTTCAAGCTGCATATTTATTTCTCTGCTTATTTTAACAGGTTGCAGCATTCGTTCGCACTATGCCCCTAAGCAAGTAAAGTTTCTGTGTTGAGCTTATTTTTGCCATTGGTAGTGTACTGAACTCAGCAGAAAATAAGTAAAAAATTCATTTTACACTTATTTATCAACAAGCTTTTACAATACAGTCGTTTAAAAATATATATATATATAAAATAGTGGCACATAATACTTATTACTCATTTTGTCCTATAAGATTTTAGTCGTATGGTAGTATTTTTATTAGAGAGCTGCTAGAACGTTATTCCATAATGGGGGAAGCAGAATGTCTGACTGAACCTATGCTGCACACAGAAGTAGGCTACTGGGGCCCTCAGGATAACAACGCCAAAGAAAAGAAACAAAAGTGTTAACATTAGCGTAGATGCCACTCAATGCTGGTTAGGACATATACAAAAGATCTGACTAAAGCTGTGGTCACATTTACTATTGCTTAGCGAAGGAAAGACCAGATGTGACTATAAAAGGTAACACTTTATTTCACAGTGTCTTTGTTACATGTTACATTTAGAGAGCTGCTAGAACGTTATTCCATAATGGGGGAAGCAGAATGTCTGACTGAACCTATGCTGCACACAGAAGTAGGCTACTGGGGCCCTCAGGATAACAACGCCAAAGAAAAGAAACAAAAGTGTTAACATTAGCGTAGATGCCACTCAATGCTGGTTAGGACATATACAAAAGATCTGACTAAAGCTGTGGTCACATTTACTATTGCTTAGCGAAGGAAAGACCAGATGTGACTAAAAGATAACACTTTATTTCACAGTGTCTTTGTTACATGTTACATACTGTTATATTAATAACAATAAATTATGCATAATTACTGTACATGCAACTAACTCTAAACCGAACTTAATAGGTAAGCCACTGGGAAGCTAGTGGAGCAGAAGACGTGGCAGAGCAGAACAAGCAGGTAAAGCTGGACAAACAGAAGACCGTGGTGGATGCAGGAGATAGTTAGCAGGTTCTGCCAGAGCAAGTGAAGAGGAAGAGCCAGATGAAGCTGATCTCTTCACAGACTGCCTTCCATTCATCCTCTGCATGAACTCAGGATCATTGCTAACTTGATTCAGCTTAAAAATGTAAGGTGGCAACTGATTTTTCATTGTGTGTGATCCGTGATGGAGCCGAACACATCTTGACTCTACACACACGCAGTGTTGGGGGTAATGCATTACAAGTAACGCGAGTTACGTAATTTTGCCAAAAATATAACTTTTTTTATATTAAAAACAAACAAGCAAGACCTGGCCAGATTTTAAAAAGTAACGCAAAAGTAACGTAACACATTACTTTCCATAAGAAGTAACTAAGTAACGTAATTAGTTACTTTTTTATGGAGTAACGCAATATTGTAATGCATTACTTTTAAAAGTAACTTTCCCCAACACTGCACACACGTATATATTTATATTATTTATATTACAGATAAACATATTTAATATATAAACATAGCATATTTTTCTTAAATATATACATGTATGTGTGTATTTATATAGACATAATAAATATACACAGCACACACACATATATTAGCTAAACAAAAACTTTTATTTTGGATGCGATTAATCGCGATTAATCGTCTGACAGCACTCATTTTAAGAAACAAAACAAACAAATCTTGGTGTGTCGACCGGAGAAGCGGCCAGTCGGGGGCAGTAAATAGCGGTCAATGCCTATAGCACCTTTAACAGAAGAAGAGGAATGTCCTCTGTTTAGAGATTTCAAACATGGGCTCAAGAGTAACACGCCTGATGAGAAACTTTAATATAGAGAATCGCGCTCACCGAGAAATAAGCAAGACAAAACCTAAAGCAGCACCTCGACATCCAGCATCCAGCAGTAGTCCACGAGAAGACATCGCCGGTGAGAACTGCTAGATTACTGACATTACATCATGAAGATCCTTCTAGTGGTGAAGGATCATACCGCGTGTCTTTTAGAAGAAATATGACTTGTGAATATGGTTTATTACAGCCATGAGGGGAAATACATAACCGCTCGAAGACTCCCAGACAGATTTCGTTATTTAACTTAAAATTGTAATGCAAATTCTATATATGTGATGGTGTTAATGAACCTGCTTATTGCACAAACATAAATATGTGAACACCTCCTATTAATAAAGGGGTTTGAATAGTACAGTGACAACCAATCTTAATGCTTGTCATACAATGACAGCCCTTAACTGTAACGGAAGTCTTTTTCTTTTCTATTTATGTCCTTGAATATCGAGACAAAATATCTGAACTATTATTAATAGTAATGTTATGTAATGAAAATAAATTGATCGTGCTACATTCTATGGAAGTGAAGACTGTCATAACTGTAAAACAATATGACAACTGGTTTATTTTATAAGAAAACACTATAAATAAGCACACTGTATACCATAATGCAGTTTCATTTGTATTCTTGTCTTTTCATATTGTTCATCTACTTTAGTTTTTTTGATCACAGTGCTGTTGAAAAAAACAGCATATGCTGGTTAGGTATGTTTTGAAGCTGGGATGCTGGTTTGAGCTGGTTTATGCTGGTCCTTTGCTGGTTTAAGTTGGTCATGTGCTGGTCCTAAGCTGGTCCGACCAGCACATGACCAGCTAAGGACCAGCATAAACCAGCAAAGGACCAGCTTAAACCAGCAAAGGACCGGCATAAACCAGCAAAGGACCGGCATAAACCAGCAAAGGACCGGCATAAACCAGCAAAGGACCGGCATAAACCAGCAAAGGACCGGCATAAACCAGCAAAGGACCGGCATAAACCAGCAAAGGACCGGCATAAACCAGCAAAGGACCGGCATAAACCAGCAAAGGACCGGCATAAACCAGCAAAGGACCGGCATAAACCAGC